TTGCGTGTCGCTTCGCGTTGAATTTTCGTCGATGTTAAGCCTAACGAAGACTATTGTATCGTTAAAAATTATTTCTTTTATTTTTACAAACAAAATAAATATATTGAAAAATATAAAAACAATAAAAAAATTATACTTCAGAAGTTGATTTAGTATCAAAAACGTAAAATATTTGAGTAGCCAAAGACATAGCCAAAGATTACAGCGCCACAGCACTGGCGAAAATTTAAATTTGTCGACAGGAATTCCTTCGGATAACCGACGTTTCGGATAACCGACCTTCCGATAAACGACGCTCTACTGTATGTACTGTACATCCACCACACATTTTATTTCACCAAGTAAGTTTTTTATTATTTTATTTATAATTTTAATCCTTATATCGTGGCTAGCGATTCGGAATGTAATTGTGATATTAAAAATGCATTTAGAGAAGTCTACGGTTTTTATTAGCTTATCGAACAAACGATACGAATGGCCCCGGAAGTCGGTTTCTTACAGAAACACAGCTTCCCTACTATCAAATGTCACGGCACGCCACTGACCTAATCACTTTGCAATGTAAGAATTTAAAAATATTAATTTAATTAAAATTGAAAACACTGTATAAGTAACAGATATATAAAATATGATGCGTAAATATTAATTAATTAAAGCTATTACATATAAAATTATACGCCTATATCTGTCGTGATTTAAGACTCACTTTACACTTAACATAGTTAACAAACAGTCCGTTTCGGCTTCACGTTTCGCACAGCTTCACTTGGTTCAGTCTTCACGGCGACAAGTTGGTATTTGCAAATCGAAGAATATCTCATTTACCTGATATTTAATAGCAATTTTTTCAATGTCGATCACCAAAAGATTATTTAATCTTTCTTAGGTTATTGTGAACTTTATTCTTCTCATTACTAATTTCAATTTTGTGTTTGTGTGATTCAAAAACAACTTTCGGCATGTCTAAAAACAGAAAAACAAAGAAATTGCGATAGGAGAATAATGTGTAAAAAAAATAAAACGAAAGAGTTATTACAATCGGAGGTTTCGGAAAATATTCACTTGAATGATAAATGGTCACGTCGTCCTCTTCCTGGTAAAGTTGGGGAAAGATATTCTTCTCCCTCCCAAATGTTCCTACAAAATACAAAAACAGTGAGAAAGTGAGAAGGTTATAATACAATATGTCATGGCCCTGCATCCTCGTTAATTAATGACAATAACCTGTACAAGATCTTCCTCAAGTACTCATGGGCGTAGCCAGAGTTTTGTTATGGGGGGGCCTAGTGGAGGCCGACCTGACACAAAATTGAATTATTTCAAATTATTGTTCATTATTGGGCACCGAGCAAGCCGTTCACTTTTTTTTAGTATTCAAAACTTTTATTTTAGCTTTAGGTGTTTACAAATCGACTCAACACTTTTTCGGCTGTGATTTCCTGGAGGGGCACCAGGTTCTCTGGGAGGGGCCGTGCCCACCCAGGCTCCCCCCTCGCTACGCCCATGCAAGTACTGTATATAAACAAGATCGTGCTTGCCAGGTATTGTATCCGCTGTGGCCCTCTCTCCAGTGAGGTCGCCAGCCCAAGGTGGAACCAGTGACAGACTGTTAGTCGTCATTGGTCTCTTCCAACGTATCAATGATATACATATCATCGCCAAGCAAGCATCATCTGTAGGTTAATTGGGGTAAGTCGTCGCTAGCTGCCTCTTGCTCGACGGTCTCTACCGACACCGAACTAATCGATTGTGAAGAGACACGGTCGAGTCCCCGGTCCTCCAACGTCTCTTCGGGTGCGGTAAGAGTCCGAGCGCCGCCAGAGCCATCAGAGGAAACCCCTCCCTCCGGCGCCACCGTCTTCCTTCGTCAGAACCTCCTCCTGATCCACTCCAATATCTTCATTCTGTAAAAAAGAAAATTTGCAATTAGTCGAGTGAAAACAGAAGCTTAAATTACGTCGACGAGAAAAACAAAATGCTCACCGCAGTTCCCTAATTAAATCTAAAACATTCGAATCGACCATCGAACGATGGGCCGAGATGTCTTCTGGCAACGATTCGTTTGAGAATATTAAATAAATTCGTACGTCTAGGGTCAATATGGACTAAGACTTACCTGAAAAATCTTTTGTCGTCTTTCGAAAACTCCGGAACAGCAAAAACAGCACACAATTAAGAGCGAGAGAAAAGCAAGTCCGACGCCAACGAGAAACAGAAACTCGCTGCGAATCGTCATGTGTGACAAATTTCGAACAAACGTTAAAAGACGCGTCGACAATGTTCGAATTTCGTAAAAATTAGAACAAAAAAAAAATCAATCTTATTAATTTTTTTTATTTAATAAAATCATAATTTTTTTAAATTTTGCTTCAATCATTTTTTTGTGTTCGGAATTTGATAAATAAATTATCTTTGGCATTTACATCGGGCAGAATGTCCACAGTGGAGAAGTAAAAGACGATCTTCTTAAATTCTACTTTCTGAGGCTTGTCGATCTCCGAAAATTACACGAAATTCGTTTGAATAAGTCGATAAAAAACTTTTATGTACTAGGATTTTTTTAACTTTTTTCACCCCACCTGGGCATTAACAGGGCCTCTTTTTTTAGCAGGCCCATTATGAGTTCGGTCAGGCCCACAATGGGGCGGCCGGTGGTGAGGGAAGGGCCCGACATATCCCGAAAAAATTCCTGGAGTTTTTTTTGACCCGTTTGGATTCGATCCCGGGTCTCCTAGAGCGGTGGGCTGCTACCGTGACCACTCGGCCATCCGGCCGGCAAAACCTAGGGTCAAAAAAAAAATCCTAACTTGGCAACGTTAACTGTCTTCTTGTTACATCTATTATGTTCAATTTAATACTTTAAGGCAATCTTTCACAAATAAATATCTATTACAGAATATAAATATAAATATAATAATAATAATNAATATAAATATAAATAGAATAATAATAATAATAATAATCAATTTTATTTTATAATAATACTATAATTTCCACCAATCAAAATTACCCTGATTATCGGCTTTTAAAAATCCTAATTTCCGAATTACAATATATAAAACACAAATATTTTAACATTTATTATTATTTTTCCTAATAAATGCATTAAAAATAAATTCAAATTATAATTTAAAATTGCAAAATAATTTTAATTAATCTTAAAAAAATATGTGAACTCATCATCAGCTGATTGATAAAAATTTATATAGTCGCTGCGCTATTACGTACGAATGTCGTCACGTCCTCGTGATCTTGTCCGCCATTTTGTCTGGAGCTATCTGGATAGAAGTCTTTCCATTTACATCTGTAAATTAGAAATATACGTAAGTATTTTAAAATACTTATTCATTGTTAAATAATCGATTGGATACTTAATAATTAATAATTCTCAAACGAATAATACTTTTCCAATAGCTTTTTTTATAATAGAAATTGAAACGTAAGTGCTGCGTAGTTGAAGAATTCGTAATAATAAATTGTGTATGGTTTTAAATAGTGGAAATGTTTCAGTACAAACGCTCTTTTAATTACTTATTTTCTATTTGTAATTAGAAATATTGGTTACATTTTATTGTTTACAGGTGACAATCTGTCCTATGATCAAAGGGGCGTATATTCCTTTTGAAAATGACAATTTCGACTTCTTTCTTTAACTATGACGTATTAAAAATGTATTATTTTTTTTATGTTAATTACTTTCTGTAGTGCAATTATTTAAAATTATATTATGTATTGTTATACAGTTTTTATAATATATTTCACTTAAATAGATTAATATTTGTTGAAAATTTAATAATTGTTTTTTAATTGCTATATTAAAAGAGAGATAATAGTTTTATTATTTATATAAATTGAAGGTTTTATTTTCACCTTTAACAGTTTTTTTGAAGTTTGATTAACTTCAATAAAAAATATGTAACTTAAACTAGTTAATAAAATGTTGCTGGTAGCTTTTAATTCACAGTTTATACTGTTTAAACACGAGCATTTTTTAAAATAAACGAGGTTGCTTCAATTAGTGTCGATTACTGAAATGACTATAGACTTAAGACATGTCTCTATCCTAGTTTAAGCTATAGCTTTTTGCTACAGTAACTTTAACAATAGATAATTACCTTCTCAAAGACAATGATTAGGAAACAAAGACTGTGGTCTAAATGTGGTTTAAACCTTGCTTGGATCACAGTGTTGGTTATAACTAATAATTGGTAATAACAGAAGAACTGGTAAAATTTTATTAACCAGTAGTTGTATATTAAATTTGTATAAAAAGAATGTGTGAAGACTAATATGTACTAAGTATTGTTCAACTTAAATTTCACTTAGTTTTCTTATATTAACAAATTAGAATATGTACTGTTATTCTTTCCATGTATTACTGTGTTACTTTGAATTAACTTTTGCCAATTTTTAAATATTTTTTTAAGAAAAAGAATTGGACGATGATTATGAGTAAATATAGTTTATGGAAATTCAATAAAGAATAAAACATTCATGTAAAATAACCAGGAAATGCTATTAAATTTCAATATACAAATTTAAGAAAATTTGGATGAAATGTGCATTTTAAACTGTTATTTTTCTATTAATTGTTATGATTAGTTCTTTCAAGTCAATAAAAATTTTAACTTTTTTCTGTTGAAATCGTAGTGATTTGCATTCCAAAATATTTAATTTTCTCCTATTGTTTTTTATTCTTTATATTAACACGAATAATTATTTGAAAATTACTATTTTCAAATAATTATTCCATTTCAAATGAATGAAAATTTTCAAATGAAGTTATATGTTATTCACATAAGCATTAATGTAATTATTATTATTTTGTAATAGAAATTTTTATTTATTACATTTCATAATAATCTTATTTGAAATTAGGTTAATAAGTTTAATGTAAGTCTATTATAATGTAGTATTTCTAATTAAAAGGTATTAATTTTATCTCAATTAACTGTAAGATGATATTGCACACAGCATAAATTTAGCAAAATACTTTTATTAAGAACTAGCTACTTAATAATTTTACTATAGGATCAAAATTTAAATTTGATTTTATTGGAAAATTACTTTATTAAAGCCCACAATTATGAAGTATTTAAATTGCAAGAAATACTACAATGACAGAATTTGCTGTGTTTAATTTAAATTCCTATATTGTTTATTTAGATACTGAACAAAGATAGTATATTTTCTCTAGATGTTTGTTTCTTACATGATTTTGTTCCAGATATATATGAATAATGTATTAAATCCACTTCTATTTGTTATGTAATTAGTCATAATTATTATATACTTACCCAAAAGATTATCAACATTTAGATTATTGGACCATATCTATTCTCTATTGTATTGACTGTTATGACATGTTGCAATTTTTGTCCCTTAAACACCTTGAATTTAGTGTCTTAATTTTTAATGTAATCATATACATATGGATTCTACTTCATAAGACAGAATTTATGTATTGAGCTAAAAACAATGTTAATTCTAATATTTTTAAATGATTCAATTTTAAGCTAATATTGGGGACTAATAATACTAGTGGTTGAAATATATTTGACGTTAATAGACAAAATAAGATGTGATATGTAGCTAAGTGGCAAAGGAAATGAATATTATTAATTAGTAAAAGAAAAGAATTCCCTTCATAAATCAGTTTGTTGACCAATATTGAGAATTTTCTGCATTTCAAGTGTATTTTTTGACTATTGGGTTTTTTAGCTTTTTATTTAGTTTTTATTAAATTTGTTGTTTATTTTTTCAATGGTTG